TTATTAAATTATTTATAAACCAGGCAGCATCTCGTCTAGCAAGCAAAGAGATACTCTGAGGAGTTATACAAAATGGAAGGCTTTTATAGAAAGGAGCATGAGGCAAGGACCTCATAAGCAAAGAAAATTGAAAATTCATTGAAGGAAAGAGTTCAGGGTGATGAAAGTTTCTCATTGGCTGAGCTATGGTGTTTTCCATTGGCTGGGCTTGTTGCTGGGCAAGAAGAAAATCTTCCTTCCTCCTGCAGAGGAGGTAAAGTAGATAGCACACCTTCCTGTTGGAGATGCAAGGCCCACTTTTTTTCATGTTCGGGGTGATAAGGAGTGGTAGGGTGACAACCCACTCTACAAGCCCTCCAGAGTCCAATTTTAGTTGAGGTTTCCTTTATTAATTTTCACAATCCAGATCATGCCTATTTGTCATGAAGTTTAAATATTTTACTTGTCTTTCCTTCCGCCATTGTGAAATGAGTTTTTTGATAAACTTCTAATTGGCTATTGTTGGTATGGAAAATATACCTTTTTCTTTTTCTTTTTAGTTGGTCACTCTGTTTATCTCTTATCCACTTTTACATTTTTCAGATGCCTCTTGGATATTCTAGAGAATTGTTTACATTGTCTCATTATGCTATGGTCATGTCTCATCCTTTCTAATAATCATCTTCCATTTCTGGTGAATGCCTTATTGAGTTAGCCAGAACTTCCAGAATAATATTAGGTAATAACAGTGAGGATGGATATCTTTGAATCTTCCTTCAGCCTACCGTACATGCCCTCTCCATCCTTTCTTCATCATAACCTGTGTCCTCATTCCCAAGGGCCGTTCTCCTGCCTCTCAGATGTGGGTTGTGTGTGCTTTCCCCTGCAGTACGTGTTGGGGACTGACACAAGCAGACCATGTTTTCCTGTAAAAAATGTATGTTCAGAATTTCATTGAATGGACCTGAATGTGCTGTACATTTAGCACGTGGAGGGCCAACTCTATTGCCACGTGGAAGTGACCTAAAACTAATATAACATCTCTAATAGTCACCATTTATTTCAAAGTGACTTTTTCTTCTTGGACTTTAGGAAGGCTTTCTAAGCATGATTTGCATTGCCCGTTTTTAAATGACCTGTCCAGGGAAGCCTTAAGCTTCTCCATATTTATTTTGCTAGTGAGTAGCAGCATTAAAATCATTTATTTTGCACAAGACCGGTCTTCCAAATTAAGGATCAATTGTGTTTAAAAGAGACCTTTGTATTGTGTTACTATGAAAATAACATATAAACAAAATAAGTGACAGATTTTAAAAAGAGAGGAAAAGTTACTCATAATCCTACCACCTGGACACAAAAATTATTCATTTTTGTTTATTTACTTGTAGTTTCTGCCCATATATTTGTCTTTTCCAGAGTTGCAGTCATGGTATTTAAACAATTTGAATGTTACTTATTTCACTTATTTAGTATGTTTGTGGTTTTATATAATCTGTGTAATGATCAAGCTTAATGGCTGTGTAATGTTTCTGTAAGTAAATGAGCAGTAATTTAGTTAACCTAATGCTGAGCCTGAGGTTGCGTCCAAGTTCTATAACACAATGGAAATTTTTGTGCCAGAGCTTTTTCTGTTCTTGGCTTACTTCCTCAGGCCAATCCCTAGAGTGAAATTACTGGGTCAAAAGATTCGAAGGCTTTTAGGACTTTTACTGCCCAGCTAAGGGATTGTGCCAAGTCACCCGATGCCAGCAGAGCAAGCAGCGGTCCAGGTGCACTCTGAATGATGACTCCTTTCCACAGATGTCATAGCATCGCTGTCACCGAAGTGCTGGTGCGGGATTTTAGTCATGAGTTGGGAAAGGAGTCACCAGAATGTTGGGTTTTTCCCCCCAGTGTACAGGGAGAGAGAGCTGTGGCTGCAAGGGGGGGGTTCTATCTGGAGGTGGCACTGCCTTGACATGCCAGGTGACTGCTTTGGGTGACGCCAGTGTGGTTTCAAGGGTTGCAGCCCAAGATGCAGATCACAGACACCACCCTGGACGTTACAAATGCTCAGAACATGGTACGGTTGCTCCAGATCGTTCCTGCCTTGTTCACTCCGGTGTTCGCATAGCTAATGGATATACATTTCAACTGTGTGGGGGTTTTTTTGTTTTGTTTTGGGGTTTTTTTTTAGGGAAAACAGTGTATTGTGGCATTTTGCCCACAGCACTCACTGAAGTGGACATCTGATACCTAGTGTAACAGAAAGTATAGGTACTACACAAAATATGAAACATGGGCAGCCGTGCATTGCTGCCACAGTGGGTTCAGCATCCAGAGTGTGCCACGAGGAGCCCTGGGTAGAAGGCACCTGTCTGGACCCTCAGCAAGACCTCCTGAATGCCCAGACCCTAGGCCACCCCTGTGCTGCCAGCAACCTCCTGGGAATGCTTCCTGGAGATGACAGGTGCATTAGCTTGCTAGGGCTGCTTCTGTCCTGTGCGATGTTCTCCCAGGGCTTTGCTGGCTCCGGGGCCCCAGCCTGGAAGGGGAAAGAATCACAGACGTGCAGCTGCAGGAAAAGGCAGTGGGATCTGAGGAACGGATTGTACGACCTCTGCAAACTTAGAGAAACTGAGAAGTTAGCTGGGTGAAGAAGGGGGAAACTGTTCCAGAGCTCTTCGCTGGTCTTCCTGGCTCTGGTCTCCTCTCTGCCTGGCTCCCCGCCCACCAGCTCACTCAGAGCCAGAGACTTTTTTAGAAAGAAAACCACACGGTCACTCCACTGTTTCAAACCTTTCAACGGGGCTTCTGGAAACACAATTCCAACTCCTGGGCTCTTTCCTCCCGGTCTAGGTGGTGAACCTCATCTTTCAGACGGCGCATTCCTCCAGGAGCCTTGCAGGAGCGCTGCTCCCACACCCCCGCCCCTTATCACCAATCACACAAATGGACGTGAGAAGAGTCTGTACAATTTGAAAGACTTTTAAAGCACTTTACAAAAGTGTAAAAGATGAAAGAAGGAATATAACCCATTAAGACAAGAACAGGAAAGGGCCCAGCCACTCCTCTGCAGCCTCCGCCACGGCACACCGAGGGTGGGTGGCTGTGTGCAGTCTGACCGCCCCGCCCTCTCACCCCCTCCACTGCAGGCGGTGGGGAGGGCCCGGTCCTCTGCATCCTGGGCACTGCGCTGGGCACACAGCGGGGACGCGAACCGAGGCGGTCAGTTCCGGCGCAGCGCGGGCCTCTGAAACGCAGCGCAGGCCCCGCACGGGGCGGAATGAATGGACGCAGTAACCTGGCGCAGCGACCCGGGCGCTCGGAAGCGCAGGCTCCGCAGCGGACTGGGAGAACCCGCCCCCAGCCGCCACCCGCCAATCAGCGAGGACTGAGAGTTCCGCCCCGCCCCCGGCCGCACCCTCTGCCAATGAGCGAGACCCCGCCGCCTTCAGCTCACGCAGTTGTTCGCCTTTCGTGCGCCAAATAAAGTTCTTCAGGACTTTGAATTTTTTTTTTAAAGCGCCCGCCGCAGTCCCAGCAGCCGCGGAGGAGAGGGGCCGAGTCTCCGCCCCGCCACTTCCGGTCCCGCCGCCCGAAGCCGGTGCGGCTGTGAGGGGCCGCGTCTCGCCGCCGCCGGCCGGCCGGGCATGGTGTTGGGCGCCGGGCCCGCCTCGCCTGTCTCGAGGTGCCCAGGTGAGGAGCGCGCGGCCCCGCGGCGGGCCGAGGGGGTGGTCGCGGGCCTGCGGTCGGTTCGGCTCCCCGCGCGCTGCTGCACCCGGCGACCGAGACGGCGCGCCGGGGCCGTCCCAAGGCCGACGCGCTGCTCCCGGGCGGGCGGCGTGAATTGGACCCGGCCGGGGCCGGGGCGCTGCCCGGGCTGGAGGGGCCGCCCCGCAGGAGCACCAAGCCGTGCCGGGGCGCACACACGGCCGCCCCTCGCTCGGGCCCGCCGTCGCGGGGGGTGCTGCTGGCCGCATTTGTCCCGAGGAAACGGAGCGCCGGGCGCCGGTCCAAGGTCACTGGCCCGACGTGGCGGCGGGAGCGGGACTCGGACGCGGCAGTCCGACTGCGACCGCCATGGAGTCGGCCCGGGACCTGACGCAGTTGGGGGCGGCCGCGGCGAGCTGGGAAGCTGTTCCCGGGGGCGGAGGAGAGGACGAGGGAGGACGGAGGACATCTTGGAACGATCGGTGCAGCCGGTCCCGGGTCCAGACCCGGTGCCGCCGGTGTGTAAGCTTGGGCGTGGCCCTGCCCTCGGCGCGGCTCGGTTTCCTCCACTGGTCCCTGCGGGGTTGGGCCCGCCCCTGTCCGCATTCCTCCGGCGCGGGAGTGGGTCTGGGTGGATGGCCGCGGCCGGGGAAGGCTTCGCGGAGAAGCTGGAATCCGGGCGGGAACGTGTTCTTCCTGTGCAAGGAGTGGGATTGGGTGGTGAAGGGAAGGAGGGCATTCCGGACCTGGGCATCCCAGTGAGCAGAAGCTTCCAGAAATGACACGCTGGGTGGTGTTGGGGAGCAGGGAGGAGGCAGGCCTGCCTTGTGCAGAGGACTTGTGGTTGGGATGAGGCAGGGGCCGGGTGCAGGTGGGAGAGGTGCTCAGAGACAAGTCAGCACCCGGCCAGCTGCTGGGGGACTTGAGGGCCTCCGCCTGGACCTACCTGCCTTTCAGGTGGTCGGGTGCAGGAAGGGGCAGGCTTACTGCTGAAGATAAATGGATTGCACTCCAAAGGCTGACCAGCCAACCCGAGGGACTCCGGGGCCTGCTGGGAGGTTCCTGGGCCCTGGCTTTCTGCAGGAGGAGAGGGGGGTGTGGACTTGTTTGGGTCCAGATCTGGGCCTCTCTGGCTGGAGAAGCTGGTGTGGTTGCTCCCTCGTGGCCTGCATTCAGTCCCAGCTTTTACACTTAGACGGGTGTTTCATGGCAGGAAGAATTGTAAACCAGGAGTTCCCCACCGGGAGCTGACGGGCCCCAGTGTCCCTGCACAGGTGACATGGTCTGATTTTGCCAGTACTCGCAGGTGGGCTGAGTCAATCTTACTTGATGATGAAACTAGTAAATGGCAGTCTGAAATCGAGTCCCACCCAGAGGAGGAACTTAAATGTGTGGAATTTAGAGACTGAGCATGCTACGTGCTGATCTGTTTCCGAAAATGCTGCCTTAGTCAGAGTGTAATTTGCAGGAAAGGGAAGTTTAGTTTTAAACCAGATCTTCAGGGTATGAAGCATCCTGAAGAAGGAAAAGAGAATTCTGAATCAATTGGAGCTGTTCAGCAAACCTCTTGGCAAGTTTGAATAATTATTTTTTCTTCAAATCTCTTCGTTTAGTGTTAATTTAGCATCTATGGACACATTTCCAAATTAGACCTTTTATCCCTAAAGTGACATGTGATAATGATATAGGTGGTGGAGAACTAGATGGTCATTATATACTTAATTTTCTTAGAATGCTAGGGAAGTAAGTCTTGTATTATCTTATGTGGAAGAGGAAACACCAGTGTTATTTTCTTTTATACGTTGCACAGTCAGTGCCCCGTATGTTTTATCAAGGACCACAAACTTGAAGATCTCAAGCCAGGAACCTAAGTGGAATTGAGTGTGGGCTTATCCCAGAGAGGAACTGAGTGTGGGGCAATAGGGTTATGAAAGAACTAAGCAGAGTCCTTAGACTGCAGGGGCACAGAAGAGTGCTGGTGTGAGCCTTTCTTGGTGCGGTGAGTCTTGCCAGGGCCCTCTGAGTGGCTCCCTCAGTGTAGGCCCACCCAGGAAGCTGGGTGTGGACCAGGCATGTGCTCATGCCCTGGCTTTTCCACGGGGCTCTTTCTCGTGACTTTCCTCATGTGCTGCCTGCTGAGCTCTATACGTGCTGTGCTTTTATTTTATTTCTTTCCATATTTCATTGCCAAGGTCAGGTAGAGGATAAAAATCAAGTGCTACCAGCCAGACCCCAAGTGACAGATGCCTGTTTTGGCCATTGTCCTCAGGTGGCCCTGACGATGTGGTAGGACTGATGTGCTCATTCTCGGTGCATGGCAGTGGGCTTGACTGGGAGGCAAGCCCTGCCTTGTGGTCCAGATCTGCTTAAGGGTGCCTGATGGATCATTCTAGGTGGGGTTCGCTAAGCAAGAGCTGTCTCTGGTAGCTTGTGGGCTGCAGCACCCAAAGGTATTCTCATTCTGTTCCCATTCCCAGTGCCCCCCCTTTTGTGAAGTTACTTTATAAAGTGAACTGGGAGCCCCTGCTCTGGGTAAACCTGAAAAGGCGTGCTCCTTGACTGTGGTCCATACCTCTACATAGGTCCACCTGAAAAGATGACGATAGATGGGAATGAAAAAGCTAGTGTTGGTGTGTTTTCACCTTTTTTTCAACTTTCTTGAGGTGTAATTGAAGTACACTAACTGCACATGTTTTAAAGTATACAAATTGCTGGATGGATATATACCTTTGGAACCATCACCACACTCAAGGTAAAAATGTTCCCATCATCTCCAGAAGGGAAACTAGTGTTTCTGTGGTGACTGTTTCTGGCAGCTGAGTGACCTCAGACAAACTAGTCCCCAGGCCCCCATGGTCTGGGCGTCCACGTTTGTAAAAAGTGCAAGTAAGAGTAGAATGCCTTCCCAGATTTGAAATTCTCATAGCTTGTGAACCCTAATGTGTAGTTGAACTATCTTCTGAAGGATTTAGACCAGTGATTTTTTTAAGGGTTAGAGGTGTGTATGTGTGTGCATGCACATGTGTGTGTCTGCAGAGGTCACAATTCAGAAGATATTTAATATGTTGTTTTCATGGTACAAATAATCTATACGAATAAAAGGGTAATATGCTAATTAGACCGGATAGACCAGATGTCCTTCCAGACATCCTTCTGGACAAAGCCACAGTGGTGGGGGGCTGAGGCAGAGGCAGTTAGGGGCGATCAGGCAGGCAGGGGAAAGCAGTTAGGGGCGATCAAGCAGGCAGGTGAGCGGTTAGGAGCCAGCGGTCCGGATTGTGAGAGGATGCAGGCCGGGCTGAGGGACCTGCCCCCCCCCTTTGTATGAATTTCATGCACCGGGCCTCTAGTAGAAAATAAAACCTTACAGTCTCTAGGGGGATATAGAAGATAGTGTGAGAAGCTATGTAATGGACTTGGGTTAAAATGGTAAAAAAAATACTCAGGGAGGAGGGGTACCCTTATACATATTTTGCTTTTAAAGATCTTAGCCTCAAACTAAAAGTTCTGTGCTTAGATCAAGTTTTCCTCTGGAAGTTTTTAAAATTTTTATTTATGTATTATATACTTTTATTGATTTCAGAGAGGAAAGGAGCGGGAGAGAGATAGAAACATCAATGATGAAAGAGAATCATTGATCAGCTGCCTCCTGCCTGTCCCCTGCTGGGGATCAAGCCCACAACCCAGGCATGTGTCCTTGACTGAAATCGAACCCAGGACCCTTCAGTCCGCAGGCCGACGCTCTTTCCACTGAGCAAAACCAGATAGGGCCCTCTGAAGTTTTAGATCATTTTCTCTTGAAAATGATCAGAGTGGTATTGAAAGGAATTGATGTTAAGGTAATGCAGGAAATTATGGGAATATTGGGCTGGTGACCGATTTGTGTCCCTAGTCAGAAGAAGCTCGAGTCCCTTTCCAGCTGTACCAAAGCAAGTAAGAACTAGGAGGCATAGCAGGTGAATGGCATCTTATGGAGAAATGGAGGGCAGATTCTAGAGCAGCTGTCGCCAGCCGGTGGTCCGTGAGGTCTGAAAGGTTGGCGACTGCTGTTCTAAAGGACAGTGATACCTGTACAGATTTAGTGACATTTCTTGAACCCTTTCTTCCAAGCAGTCAGGTGCGCATCACCTGTGTTGGTCTTTATTATTCTTACCTGTGGGCTCTCAGTGGGAATCTGAAACACAGATGGGTTGGATGCAGCCAGCAAAGAGAATCTATTTTGGGGGCATTCGTTATAACTTAATCTTGATGTTGATATTGCCTAAAAATGTAAATAAAAAACAACAAATAAATGTGAAGATGCTTATTAAGGTTCTAGCCCCGCCTTTCTTAAAGGAAGAAGGAAAGCAAAGCATCACAGTGTCCTCTCCTCACCAGAGGCTGACACTCCCCCCTCCCCCCCCAGTCTGCCATGGGCCCAGCATGCGGGGCACACACAGGTGCATGTCCTTGCAGTGGGGAAGGGCAGACTTACATGGACAGTGGTGAGCCCAAGGGGAACCTGTCAGTGGAGGCTCCCCTAGACTGTGAGCTTGGGAGCTCTCTCCCCACCATACCCCAGGGCCTGGCACCCAGTGAGTGTTAAATCCCTTTTAAAAATTTTAACTCATACTTTAAAAAATTAGACTTACAGAGGATGGTGTAGAGATGACCCAAATCTATTATGAAGGAATCCAATCTTCATGTAGCTAATATGCTAAATTTTTCTACAACTAAAGAAAAGAAAACCACTTACATGGTGTGGTCAGTCTCCAGCTGCTGCCTAGAGACTTGTTCTTAACTGAGCTTCCATCTGTCTTTCAGGGTAAAGGCAGCAGTAATGCTGACGCTGGCGAGCAAACTGAAGCGGGATGATGGTCTCAAAGGGTCCCGGACGTCAGCCACAGCCTCTGACTCCACTCGGAGGGTGTCTGTGAGAGACAGACTGCTCGTTAAAGGTGATGACATCCATGTGAGCTCTTTATATCCCACAACAACGTGAAGGATGGCTGGGGGCTCTGTTGGGGTGTGAAGCAGCCTGTTTGAAAATATGTTAAAGTGTAACCCCTTATTACTTACAGCCTGTGCGCTGTGGGAGTGCTGCTGGTGAGGAAGTGGATTAGAAACTGGTGTGTCTTACGTACTTGGAGTATTCTCTGTGGGGCTGCCAGGGTGCTGGTGGGAGGAGTAAAGTCCTGAGAGTCAGCAGGTCCACCACTCTGGTCTCGGCTGTCATTGTAGACTCCTAGGAGAGGGGTCTTTGTTTCTTCTGGACTCCTCAGCACCAAAGGAGGGAGTGGTATTGGGTAATCTCTTAGGATCCTTCTCCATTTAGTCAAGTCAAAGCCTGAGGAGAGCCTGTGCAAACAGTTCCCCTTGCAGAATTAACAGCACATTGTCCCAGAGCTGTGGCTCACATGCGTTTGTGCACCGCTTCTGCATCACTCATTGCACAGACTTACAGCTCTCAGGTGCTTAGGCAGTTTCCTAGGGTCAAGGACTACAGAGTGGAGGGAGAAACAGTCCCTGCTTGAAAGAGCTTATGACATGTGTTTTCATTTCTTAAGTGTGAGGAGCTAGGAAGCACTGGTTTGTGAGTAGTTTGTTAGAACTGCCTGTGTTCGTATTCTTTTAGGCAGACACCGTGGGGGTGACTGGTATTTGATATCCTGACACTGAGTGAGGCAGGGGAGCCATGCGTGTGCACGCGCTGTGTACGCACATGCTGTGTTGGGCCTTCTCAGAAACGAAGCAATGCTCAGCTTGGGAAGGAACAGGAACAGGAAGGCCTCAGGTTCAGGGGTGCATGCTTCCTTGTTCTGCTGCCCCCTAATGTTGACTCAGCTCTGGCTTATGCCTCCTGGTAGAGTAAGAATCATTTTATACGTTTTGGCATTGCCTGTTCTGTCGGGGAGAGCGCTGGACTGCAGTGGGTTTTCTAAGCAGCTTTATCCTGTGGGGTTGTGGCAGCACCTCACTTGGGTGGGCCCTTTAGGACCTGAGTCTCTTTTCCGGGTGCTAGCCCAAGGGTTCCATCTACAGAGGAGCAGGAGCCGGGCAGCACCTGGAAAAGGGTTTGATGTGTGTTGTGGTCCTTGGAGTGGAGGGTGGGCACAACAGAGTGGCCCTCTGTTGGGCACTTTCTAGTACAAATCTAGTTTGACCTTTGCTAATCCTTGCTCGGTGGTGGTTCATTTTGAAGCTGGACTCAGGAGGTTGAGAAACTTGCTAGGGCAGCTTTAGTGCAGGAGGACAGCTGGACCCACCTATTGGGGCAGGGCAGGCTCTTGGGCAGGCCTAGCAAGCAGGAACGAAGGAGCAGGACAGAAGTACAAATGCAGAGAAGAGAGGCTCCCACACACATCCGGCCCTGACATAGCTGGGTAGCCCGCTGGGGCTCGCCATGCTGGACTTCGCCCCTACTCCAAGGGCAGGAGGTGTCTTCCAGGACCTGCGAGGTCCAGTTCTGAAGGACAACAGAAGGCTGGAGTCAGTTCTCCTTGGATACACCAGAACCTGTCTCAGAGCAGCTAGCACCCGGGAAAGAAACTCAGGTCCTAAAGGGCCCAGCCAAGTGAGGTGCTGCCGCCACGCCCACCCTCTACCATATTGACACCTTCACCACACCAGCTCGTCATTTGAACCCCCAGGATGGTTCTCAAGGATGTCCTCCAGGCCAGAAATGGGGAGTGTAGAACAATCCAGTGGTCTGGGCTAGGATTGAGGGCCACTGCCTGCTCTGAACCCTGTGAACTGGGGACACTGGGGAGAGGGTGTCAGATCTGTGCATTTCCTGTTGGCCCCAACTCACGACAGCCTGACTGGGAGCTAGTGCTTTCAGCCAAAGGGCAGTTGGTGCTGCGCTCCTGCTGAACCTTTGTGGGGCTGTTGAGTCTGATGGTGTTCTCATCTCCCCAAAAAGCCCTCGGGCAGAATTGCTGACTTCTTGTCTTTCAGAAGGTGGCCCTTTTCATGCAGTGGGCGTATGTCTGTCCCTGTTCCTTCACTTGTGCCTGCTTGCTATCAGTCTACTGATTCTGACCCTCAAGGGGCACCAGGCAGGCTGGCAGGCACTTTTTGCCTATGTTAGTCTTTGTTAAGTGTGGAGATTTGGAACTGAGCTGACCGAGTTCAAGCTCAGGTCTGGAATCAGGGGCTCTAAAAGGAATGAATCTGTGTGCAGCCTTTGTCCCCAGCTATCTCAGGAGAAAGGCTCCTCATGCCTCAGGACATTCACTGCCATCTTGCCAACAAGTGTGCTTGTTTGTCAAGCACTTCCTGAGCACCCTGTGTGTGCCAGGCTCAGGGCCAGGTACTGTCGCAGGGCTGGGCAAGTCTGCTCATTCTCTGCCATGGAGGGAGTGCAGGTTCTTCTGGTCTTTCTGTGCAGTCATGCTTCAAGTGGGCTCTGTGGTTTGATCTTTAGTTAGAAAGGAAAAGAGTCTCATTTCTCAGAAGGAAGTTGTGCAGCCACGGAATTGTGCAAGGTGCCAGGTGTCTCCCAGAAAGGCAGGGCCAGTGTGTGGTGAAGGTGTTAGCATCTTGGGACAGGTGAAACCTTAAGCAGTGTAAAAATATCTGAATTTCTTGTTACGGAACAAGTGGGGTCATGTCCTTTGGCACTAAGGTTATGCAGGGAAGGGTGGCTGCTTTTCCAAGAGGCCTCAACATTTAAAGCAGTCCACTTGTTTCTTTGGTCAGAGTCTTAGTGTACATGGATTCTAAGGTGGTAACTGCTGATGTTAATGACTAGTATTTGCCATCATCGGAGGTGTAGAGAAACTATTGTCATTTGTGACAGCTCCCTGAGAGCAACACCGCGTGAGCCTCTGTGGCTTGTTTTGTCTTGTATACTGGGCTGAATTAGAGTACCTGGCATCTTGATTGAAGTCCTTGTGCCCCCAGAATGGTATTTCTTTTTCTTTTTTTTAAAATATTTTTATTGATTTCAGAGAGGAAGGGAGAGAGATAGAAACATCAACAGTGAGAGAATCATTGACTGGCTGCCCCCTGCACGCCCCCTACTGGGGGGATTGAGTCTGCAACCCAGGCATGTGCCCCTGTCCAGAACCGAACCTGGGACCCTTCAGTCCACAGGCCGACGCTCTATCCACTGAGCCAAACTGGCCAGGGCTAGAATGGTATTCCTTGCTGTACTGGCTGTTGGACCAGAAGCCTGCAGATGTCCTGCCTGTGGTGGGGGTCATTGCTGGACTGGGTCTGAGGGCTCTCCCTGGCCCTGTCCACCTTCTTTGAGTGAGTCACACTGAACGTGGAAATGCGAGCATAGTGCTCATTTTAGGAATTTAAGTCTAGACTACAGTATGAAGTTGTTAAGGCTGTCTGTGTAACCAGCTGTGTATAAATATAGCTTGGTACAACAGCTCACAGCAATTTCCTGTACCCTGGGAGAGTAGCAACTCAGAGGCCTGGGCCCACCTAGGACTTCTGGTGTATTGGCCTGGCAGGACCGCTGAGGGGGCAGGGTTTGCTCTGCAGGTTCTAGATCAGGGGTGGGAACCTTTTTTCTGCCACGGGCCATTTGGATATTTATAACATACAAAATTATCAGCTTAAAAATTGGCCTGCTATATTTGGTCAAACATTTAATTAACTCACCCCTAATGCCTTGGCAGGGCCAGACCAAATGATTTCTCGGGTCTTATATGGCCCTCTGGCCAGACATTCCCCATCCTGTTCTAGATTGTGGCAGTGGTAGCACAACTCCAGATTTCACTAAAAATCATTGAATCATACACTTAAGTAGGTCTGTTTTTTAGTGTGTAAATTGTACTCACCAAAGCTGTTGAAAAAGGAAAAATCTCCCCAGGTGATTGGCGTTGCAGCCAGGGTGGAGAATCCTGTCCTAGAGTGAGGCGTCCTCCGCCTGTGCCAGCCGTGTGGGGGCTGCTGCTGTGGCTCTGTCATCATCATGCCCTGGTCAGCACCTCCCCGCCCCCCTGGGTCCAGACCTCCTCTCTTCCCTTAGCACTAGAAGGTCTTCTCAAACATTTCACTTCCATTAGGTGCCCCCTCCCTCAAATCCTCTGGGCACATTTCACTGGGCTTTTGTAAAGCTGGGCGAGCAGAGCTCTCCTGACTGCAGATGGCATAGGCCCCCAGAGAAAGCCGGGTTCCTGTGGCCAGCATCTATCTCAAAAGAAGGGCCTCAAGGACTGTTTCTTGCAAATTCTTATCAATAAAAAGTTAAATAATAGTATAATAAAATATGTAAATAGAATTTGCCTTAAAAACATAGTTTAATTATATGGATAACACTTAAAGTTGTTAATATTAATGACTCATTTATAAAATGTCTGCTTTTCTGATACAATGAAATCTTGTGTGAACTGTTGGAGCAGAGCAAGGCCCTTGCCCCTCCCCATCAGAGGACCTGGTGTGGATGCCTCGGAGTGCAGAGTGCTGTGGTCCTCCACACCCTGCTTTCTTTCGTGAGCACTCTGCTCTAGGGTAGGGCAATAGTGGGCTAGTCAGGAGGCCAAAACTGAAGATCACTGTGGTCGTTATGAGAGTTATGTTATTGAACTTCTCACGGGCTCTCCATGATGTTGTTTTGTTAAGTGCATATGTTTGAATGTACAACATAACACTGCCAAGAAGGGAGACTCCCAGGCTTGCATTTCACCACAAAATCTGGTCCTTTTCCAGTCATGGCCAGAGGATGATTAGGGTTACTGCTCTCCCCACGCCCAGCTCCACTGATTGGCTATAACACCCTGGACTGTGTTCCTGGCTCCCCTGCCCCATTCCACTTTGTGGATGCAATTCCAAACCCCTGGACTCCCAAGCTGATGTATTTCGTGGGTCACATGTCCCTACCCAGATTCTTAATCAGCTGAAGTCAAAGGCCTGTGGGTTTCCTAAATTTTTAGCCTGAGAACAGAATCACCCGCCAGTCTTCCCACTAATGCACTCAGCACTCAGCTTTGCAAACACGGTGGCCTCTGCCCTCCCCTCCCCTCCTCCTCTTCCCATCCCTCCCCACATCACTTGAAGAAATCTTTATACCTGTAGCATTTATATTTTGACCACTCATTTGCTTTTTAGTTTTTTAAATCTGGTTTCCACCATTCCACTTGCCTTCCTGCTGTTTTGAATCCTCTCAGCTGGGTCCATCACACCCACTGGCCATGCCTTGGGCCTCATTCCCCTTGGACCAGTCTGTCCTCTCTTTAATGAATCACCACATTTCCCCATAGTTTTCCACCTGTTTCTTACTATTAACTTTCCCGGCTTCTTGTGCTCTGCTTTTTGCTGAGGTTTTTCTCACCAGTCTCCCCACTTTGTTGGTCTCATGACCTCAGGTGGCATCACTCTGCAGGGGCTCCTCGACCCTGACTTTGGTCATGCACCCAGACTTCGGCTTATTTCTCCCAGGGCTTCCCCAGCCCTATGCTCCATCTTGGACTCCTCTCGCCCCACACAGCTGGCAGCCCCTTCCATGCTCTGCCCTCAAGCACCCTGCCTCTCCCTGCCTCTGCCAGGCCCTTGCTGCCTATCTGAGTGCCCAGCTCACAGGTCACCTGGCCTTCGCTGTGCCCTTCCTAAAGGCAAAGCTTAAGAACTTTGGTTCAGCCCTAACCGGTTTGGCTCAGTGGATAGAGCGTCGGTCTGCGGACTGAAGGGCCCCAGGTTCGATTCCGGTCAAGGGCATGTACCTTGGTTGCAGGCACATCCCCAGTAGGGGGTGTGCAAGAGGCAGCTGATTGATGTTTCTCTCTCATCAATTTTTCTAACTCTATCCCTCTCCCTTCCTCTCTGTAAAAAATCAATAAAATATATTTAAAAAAAAAAAAAGAACTTTGGTTCAGAGATCTTCCTTGGCTGCTGTTGCTGCAGAATACAGTTTAGAATTCTAAGCCGTGCTCTTGGGACCTCCACGATCCTGGCCTCCTTTCCCGTTGCTCTGGCTGCACCACACTGCTCTGGCTTCTGTGCCTGTCAGTGTTCTCTGCTTTTGCACATCACTAACTTACCTCCACCTTTACAGGACTAAATTCTTGTTCTTTGGAGCCCACTCAAAACCCTCCTCCTTCTTTTAGTCTCCACAGCTGGAGCGGATCCCAGAGCATTCTGTTATGCCTGAGGCAGAGACCACTTGCCTGCCCAGTTATTTCTGGGTGCTCCCCCAAGACCAGATGTGTAGTAGCAGGATGGCTGGGGGTTTGTACCTCTGTGCTGGCAGAGGGGTGCTGGGCTTCAGTGCTATAGTGAGTGATAGAACAGGCCCTGGAGGAGAGCATTGGGGCCAAGGAATGCAGCTCCAAGGGCACAGGCACGGGCACAGGCGAGGCCCCAGCAGAGGAGTTCTCATTGAAAAGTGCAGCACACAGTAGGTGAGCCATCATGGGAAGGCAGGTCTGAGAAGTTGGAAGAGACACAGGTATATAAATAAATCAATTTTGAGGGAAGGAGCTTCTATATTTGGGGGGAACAAGGTTTTAGAAAGTCTGAGACTGTTTACCTAGAGGTAATTTCTGTGTTAATGTTATGGTTTTCATTTTGAAAGTAAACTCTCAAGGGCCCTTGGCTGTATTTGGTGGCATCCTACATGTCACTTTGTATATTTGAAAGCAACTTCATGGCTTAAAGCAGCGGTTCTCAACCTGTGGGTCGCGACCCCTTCACAGGGGTCGCCTAAATACATCCTGCATATCAGTTATTTACATTACGATTCAAAACAGTAGCAAAATTACAGTTATGAAGTAGCAACGAAAGTAATTTTATGGTTGGGGGTCACCACAACATGAGGAACTGTATTAAAGGGTCGTGGAATTAGGAAGGTTGAGAACCACTGGCTTAAAGTCTAAACTTAAGGCCAAGTGTAGGGTTTGGTTTGTTTAGTTTACTTATTTTTTCCTCAGTTCTGGCAGAAATTGTGAATTTAGAGCTGGTAATTTCATGTGGAATAATTGACTGATTGATATTAACAATAATCTCTTTGTTTCTACAGAGGTTGCAGAACTTGAAGCTAACTTACCTTGTAAGTATAGCTCCCCGTCCAACATTAATTCTGAAAAGTAATTGCATGGAGAAACTTGTGCATTTTAATAACCTGTATTTCATGTATGGTAGGAATATGCTTTAATTTTGTGCAGGCAGGGAACAGACCATTTTCAAGGCTCTGATAGGAGGAGATGAGTCTTTCTGACCGTAGCAGGCGGTGTCTCTCTCCTCAATGTAGCAGAGGTACGTTTGGCTAGGTTTCCTATCTGCCCACATCGTCTTTGAGTGAAAAGGTCTATAAATCAATAATGCACAGCCCTAGTTTTGCTAGTGATCCTGATGCACCATTTTGGTCCAGAAAGTGCTCATTTATCTTTGTGCATGAGGTAGGATGGCTGTACTGGCTGATGTCACCAGGTCCCCGCCCCATGCTTGGTTCTCCCACTCAGACCATGTGCAGCCCTCACTCCTGAGCAGGCCTGCTGTCCAGGCAGTGAACCTGTGATATGTGGCATCGTTCCTTTCTTAAGACCTTCAAAGTCTGAAAGCTTTGGCCATTTAAATATTTTTTTGAATTAAAACTTTTTCTCGTCATACTTGGTTAAAAAATTGTTCTGATACTGAGGATGTGTGTGATGTGGGTGAAATATTTTACAAGTGGGTCTCCCAGTCTGGGCGAAGGTTACAGAGTGCCCATATGACTGGGGAGAGAGGGGGCCCATTTCCTAAAGCTGAAAGATAATCGTGGGGTACATCCTTCAGTAGTCATGAAATCAGTGTCTAAGGGTAAGTTCATATTGGTTTTTTTAAGTATTTTTAATATATAGTATTTATGGTTATAGTGGGCTGTGATATAAACTGTTTCTTATTGTGGGTCTTAAAAGTCATTGGATTGCTTGACCTCAAAGTTTTCTTTTAGTCAGAACTAGAAGGAAGTATCTTGGGATTCTATTAAAAGGTTATCTTTCTACCTACTAAAGTATTTATAAATGATTTACTTTCAACTGTTCCAGGAAAACAAACAAACAATCATGTATTTAGATAGGTTAGACAGAGCAAGATTGGCAAAATGTTGAAACTGGGTGAACTATTATACTAATAGTATAATAGTTCATTATACTATTCTCTTTTTTTCCTATTTTTTAATTTAAACCCTTACCTGGGAATCTTTTCATTTTGTTTTTGTTTTATTTTTTGGTTAATTTTTTAGAGAGAGGGAGGGAGAGGGAGAAACATCAATCAGTTGCCTCTTATACACACCCCCACCAAGGATTGAACCCACAACCTTTTTGGTGTACGGAGGCGACACTCCAACTGAGCCACAGGCTGGGGCTTTTTTCCTTTTTTTAAAAAAATATGTTTTGATATTTTTAGAGAGATAGGGGAAGGGAGAGAAACATTGATGTGAAAGAGAGGCATCTATTGGCTGCCTCTTTCATGCCCGCTACTGGGGGTTGAGCCCACAACTCAGGCATATGCCCTGACTGGGAATTGAACTGGTGACCTTGGTGCATGGGATGATGTTTAACTAACTGAGCCACACTGGCTGGGCCTTTTTTCCTATTCTTTTAAAATTTTGTATCTAAGGACATTTTTCTAATGAAAAAATGAAGTGGCCTTGGTGGGATTGGTCAGTTGTTAGGGCGTGAGCCCCTGCACCAAAGGGTCTCAGGTTTGATTCACAGTCAAGGGCATGTACCTGGGTTGCAGGTTTGGTCCCAGGCCCCAATCAGGGTGCGTGCAGGAGGCAATTGGTCAGTGTGTCTCTTTCACATCAATGTTTCTCTCTCTCCCCTTCCCATCCTCCCTTCCACTCTCTCTAAAAATCAGTGGGAAAAATATCTTCAGGTGAGGATTAACAACAACAAAAAGAAGTGATTTTCTTGTTTTCTCCTCCCATCATGTCTTCTCCCCCGCCCTGAACTTAAACATTTACACACATTTAGACATTTAATCAAGGACCACAACAACTTTCCACTTAAACACAGTTCATTTTGTCTTTGAATGTGAATCTTACAGATTGCGGTTTTTAACCCATAGAGTGTAGCTTTAGCTTTACCTAAAAATTTGGATTAAAAATAATAAAACTTTATAATTGGCTTTCAAACCAATATTTTAACTAAATAGCTTAGGTTTAACTAAATATCTTAGCTCTTACAGCTAAAATGTCAGATTAAAAAGGCTACAAGCTAGTTCTGGCTGGTGTGGCTCATTTGGTGGAGCATCATCCCATACACCAAAAGGGTGGTGGGTTCGATTCCTGGTCAGGGCACATGCAGGGGGCAGCTGATATCTCCCTCCCTCCCTCCCTCCCTCCCTCTCTCTCTCCCTCCCTCCTCCTCTTTAAAATCAAGTTAAAAAAATGTTTAAAAGGCTACGTGCTATATCCCTCTTCTTTTTTCTTTTTCTCCCTACCCTCACCCCCAGTTACAGTGGGGAGATCTAAATAAGTTTATACAAATAAGCCACTTACTGTGGTAGGTGTGAATGACTGGTGCTGGTTGAGCAGACCAGAAATTTGACCTGGGTTCTTTTTCTGGTTTTCCTCTGTTTAGTGAGCCTTTATCCATCCATGTGTTTTAATCTCCCTGAGGTATGGTTTCTTTCTAAGTAAAGTAGCCTGATTGTTGAAATCAATGGAAAGATTTATTATTGATGGTGACCATTTAAAGGAAAGAAAACATCTCAATTTAGAATTAAGTAGTAAAAGACAGTAGCAGGAAATCACGGGAAAAATCACTGGTTTGCCAGTTTAGCACATTGGTACAATTATCAAACAAGCAAGGGGATCCAACACCGTTAACCTGGGTGTGTGTTTCGAGGTTGGCCTCGGGGGAGCTGCCGCCAGCTCTCAGATCTTCCTGACGTGCTGTTTCTCTTGCAGGTACATGTAAAGTGCATTTTCCTGATCCAAACAAGCTTCATTGCTTTCAGCTAACTGTAAGCCCAGGTAATATTCTTATATACTTCTTAAACAGCAAATTTTAAAGGCTGCCCAAACCTATAATCTTTGGCTTGATTTGTCCTCTAACTTTCTGAGTTTATGACACTAATGACCTTCCCATATGACAACAAGATGTATACTTTGTGGTCAGATAGAGCCTTGTGCTGTGAATCTGAGGCATTCGTTCCAGTAACGAGGGACAGACCAGGCCACAGTGAACAAGGACAGGTTGCTGATGTGTGGTGAGGAGTGTGCGCTCTGGAGTCTTACCTGGGTTCAGATCCTGCTCTGTATGTAGCAGCTGTGGGACCATGAAATTACTTCCTGACCTCTCAGCCACAGCCCACCAGCACGGAGTGGGATGGAACGGGCCCTATCTCCCAGGACGGTTGTGAGGATTACGCAGATAGCTGAGCGCAGTACAGGTGGACAGGGCGGATTGCCAGCTGTCCTCCTTGGAACTGATAAGTGTCTCAGCTCCAGGTGCCCGACTCCTCCCTGGTCACACTGGGCAACGTGAGGGAGGACGGTGCTTTTCGGTTCACAGTGCAGCTCCAAGGGTTCCAGGTTCCAGCACAGGCACCAGCATTACCTCAGGCAGTGGGCGTGGTGCCTATGGGAGGGAGGGAGGCAGGGAAGGGGAGGACCAAGGGAATTAACTAGAGGGAAGAGAATGTTGTGAAGAAAATGAGGGTGCTGTGTGTGGAGGATGGAGAGGGGATGAGAAACAGACTCAGGAGTTACTAGCTAATTTAAAAGTGAAAGAATGCAGAATTTCAGTAGGTAATTCAGATAATGACCCATAAATAAGCCCTGGAAATGTTTCCCTATAGGTAGGTAGGTGGGGGGGTGAAGGGGGGGGGAGCGGAGAGAGAGGAGAGAGTTTTCCTGTAAGATATTTTTTATAATAATAGGAGAAATCCCATTTTCAAAATCTGCTTGAAAAGTTTTAAAAGTTTATTGAATCTATGTGGTGGTTCTATAAACTGCTCTGGGACATGAATGTAAATTCAGTCTGGTACCATTTCCACTAAGATGAGTGGCACTAGGATAGATTAAACCTGAATGGGCTGTTCCATATGCCTGACGCCCAGAGATAACCACACTCAGGACTTCAAGCTGAAATGGCGAAAATGGTGACCACTCTTGGCCACCTTCATAAAACCCCTGCGTATTCTGGTTTTAGTGAAGGGCACCGAGCACTTTGTGTTTCATGGTGACGCAGATCACCAGTGCAGGGTATTTTCAGAAATTGTCGTGGGGATGAAGACTGGTTCTCTGTTGAGTAAGCAGTCTCAGAGTTGTGTATTTGTAGTAAAAACATTGGCTGCCCTCTGCCTTTCTAGCCATTGTCTGTGGCTCTCAGGGATTCTGTGGCTGTGTCCTGCCCAAGAGTCCGCTTTGTGTCCTCAGCCACCTGTTGGACTTTGCCATGTTTATCACTATCTTACTTGGAGTGGGTTTGTGTCAAGTCCAACCTCTGATTGTTTCTTTTTTGATTGCATTTCCTCCCCCCTAATTACATGGATGTTGTGATTATGTATATGACACTGTCTTTCATGTTCTTTCTGTTGTTCTTGAAAACAGAGCTCAGTTGTTTGTTATAGTTTTGGTATTCTCTGTTGGATCAGATAAAAAAGGAACTTGTGTTTCTGTGCCTGTAACTGTGAGAATTTAGCATTTCTGTTTGTGACATGTGCATGTCAGGGACACAATTGTCGCCTAGAGCTGTGTGCCCAGCGTGCTCCTCACACACCGAGTCAAAGAGCCTGCGGCTCCTGCCCTTGGTTAAGAGAAGCAGGGCTGCTGTCTGCCAGCCCTGAACACTGGCCCGATAGCCTGGTTTTTTAAAGACTTTCTGGAGTCGCACTCTTTTTAGCATTGAAAAAACGGACAGAGATGTGCCTAAGAAGTAGAGTTTTCAGGATGGATGAAGCAGATGGTGTTGACACTGGATCATTTGCAGCCAGTAATCCTGGGGCCGAGTCTGAAAGCCCAGGAATGACTGTGCTATCTCAGCTCTGGGTGCTCAGGGTGGAGGAGCTGCTTCTGCATTTGAAGCTCAAAGCTCTTTGACTGGCTTCTGGCAACTTGATGACATTTCAGTTTTGGTGGTTTTTGGAGTGTCCCTCATGCTTGGAAATAAATGTGTTCTTCAGAGAAAACATGGAACTGAAATTGGGTGACAGAGGAAAAGAAATGAATTTAGGAGAAAACAAAGTCTTCACATGGACTCACAAAACAAAGCAAAACCCCAAACACTGGCTCATCTCTCCCCCAAGCCTCCTGTGAGGTTTGACACACTGGGCCCGCCAGGTCATAGTTGCCCAGCTGGTCTGTGGAGGTCCCTCAGCCTGCCCCACTGTGGTGTGGAGGCTTTTAGGCAGAGGGGGCTGTGGACATAATTATTATTTTAATTTTAGTTTTTCCTTTGTAAGTACATTTACTGGGGTATGAAATTACAAACAAAATGTACTAATTTTTTAAAAATATTTTTTATTGATTTCAGAGAGGGAGAGATAGAAACATCAATGATGATGAGAGAGAATCATTGATTGGCTGCCCCCTGTATGCCCCCTACTGGGGATCGAGCCCGCAACCTGGGCATGTGCCCTTGACCAGAATTGAACCTGGGACCCTTCTGTCCGCAGGCTGATGCTCTAGCGACTGAGCCAAACAGGCTAGGGCTAAAATGTACTAATTTGAATTGTACAGTTTAATGCATTTCAAAAAATGTATACCCCTTCGTAACCACAACATAGTAAAGATGTTTCTTTCCTCCACTCCCGAAGTTCCCTTCTGCTTCTTTGCAGTCATTTCCTCAGCCCCTACTGCCCACCCAAAAGTCCTTTCTGATTTCTAGTATCATGGATCAGTTTTGTCAGTTCTTACATTTCATATACATGAAATAAATGTGTACTTACTCATATATTAAGAGAATCTTATATATCCTACTAGAGGCCCGGTGCACAAAAATTTGTGCACTGGGGGGGGGGGGGTCCCCCAGCCCAGCCTGTGCCCTCTCGCAGTCTGGGACCCCTCGGGAGATAACGACCTGCTGGCTTAGGCCTGCTCCCGGGTGGCAGAGGGCACGCCCAATCCCTAGGTGCAGCCCCTGGTCAGGCTCAGAGCAGGGCCGATTGGGGAGTTGGGGCGCCGCCCCCTGTCATGCACAGAGCAGGGCCCATCAGGGGGTTGGGGAGCTCCCCCCTGTCACGCACAGAGCAGGGCCCATCGGGTTTGGGGAGCTCCCCCGTCACGCAACAGAGCAGGGCCCATCAGGGGGTTGAGGAGCTCCCCCCTGTCATGCACAGAGCAGGGCCCATCAGGGGGTTGAGGAGCTCCCCCCTGTCACTTACAGAGTAGGGCCAATAGGGGAGTTGGGGCAACACCCCCTGTCACACACAGAGCAAGGCGGATCAGGAGGTTGGGGCGCTGCACCCTGTCACACTCAGGGCAGGGCCGATGGGGAGGTTATGGCTCTCCCCCGTCACACACAGAGCAGGGCCCGTGGAGGGGGGTTGGGGCGCCACCCTCTATCACCCACAGAGCAGGGCCGATCAGGGGGTTGGGACGCCGCCACTGTCACACTCAGGGCAGGGCCGATGGAGAGGTTATGGCTCTACCCTGTCACACACAGAGCAGGGCCCGTGGGGGGTGGCTTGGGGCGCCCCACCCTGTCACACACAGAGTAGGGCCGATCAGGGGGTTGGGGCGCCTTCCCCTGTCACGAACAGAGCAGGTCGGATAGGGAGGTTGTGGCCCCACCCCCTGTCACTCACAGAGCCGCAGGGCGATCAGGGGGTTTGGGCGCTGCCCCCTGTCACGCTGATCTCTGTGCCGGGAGCCTCGCTGCTCCGCTGATCCCGGTGCCGGGAGGCATATTACCCTTTTACTATATAGAATAGAGGCCTGGTGCACGGGTGGGGGCCGGCTGGTTTGCCCTGAAGGGTGTCCTGGATCAGGGTGGGGGTCCCCACTGGGGTGCCTGGCCAGTCTGGATGAGGGGCTGAGGGCCGTTTTCCGGCTGGCGGGTGACTAAAGCTCCCAACAGCTCCTTTTTTTCTTTTTTTTTTTTTATTCTGGGCCAGCTTTAGCTCTGAGGCCTCAGCTGCTGAAAGCCGGTTTCTGGCCTTTGTTTTTCCTTCTGTATTTGATACAATGTTGCGGTCCGGCTGGCTGAAGCCCGGCTGACTGAAAGCCGGTTTCTGGGGTTTTGTTTAGCTTCTTATTTGCAACATAGTACATAGTTGCTTAGAGTTGCAGCCAAGAGGCCGGCAACTCAGGCGGGGAACGTTAGAGTCAGCCGTCACTGGAACAAGCAAGCCTCCCTGTTCGCTTCAGTGCATGGCTGCCGGCCGCCATCTTGGCTGACAGTTAATTTGCATAAGGATATGCTGATTAGCCAATGGGAAGGGTAGCGGTCGTACGCTAATTACCATGTTTCTCTTTTATTAGTGTAGATATACTTTGGCTTTTTGCAGGTAACATGTTTTTAAATTCATACATGTTTGGAGTGTCAATCGTTTGTTCCTCTTTATTTATTATATGAATGTGCCATAATTGTTCCTTTTCCTGTTGGTGAACATTGGAATTCTTCCCAGCTTTGGAGATTACGAATAAGACTGCTATTAACATTCTCTTACCATCCTTTGTATACTCATACGTTTCATTTCTCTTCATTTCCACTTAAGAATGAAATCTCTGGGCCTAGCCAGCATGGCTCAGTGGTTGAGCATCGATTGATGAACCAGGTCACGGTTCGATTCCCAGTCAGGCCATATGCCTGGGTTGAAGGTTTGATCCCCAGTGTGGGGAATACAGGAGGCAGGCAATGATTCTCATTCTCTCTCATCATTGATGTTTCTATCTATCTCTCCCTCTCCCTTTCTCTCTGAAATCGATAAAAAATATATATATATACATATATATATATTTTTTTAAAAAGAATGGAATATCTGAGTCATGGGAAAAATATATTTAATTTCTTAAGAAACTTTCTGAAGTGGTTGTGCCATATACCAACTAGCAATGTGTGACAATTTCCGACTCTCCTACTCTCTACAGTCCAACAAGAAGTGACATCTTAACGATATTGAGTCTTCCAATCCATGAGCATGCAGAACATCTGCATTTACTTAGGTCTTTTTTACTTTCTCTTGGCAGCATTTTGTAGTGTTAGTATATATATAGGTCCTGCAAGCACTTTGTTATATATGTCACTAAGGATTCCATGTTTTTTGAAGTTGTTGTAAATGGTATTTTTAAACTTTCTATTTTACTTGTTATTAGTATATAAAAATGCAATTGATAATTTAATTTTTTTTTTATTGATTTCAGAGAAGGGAGAGAGAGAGAGATAGAAATATCAATGATGAGAGAGAATCATTTTCAGCTGCCTCCTGCACGCCCACCCTGACTGGAAATGGAACCCTGACCTTTGGTTCATAGGTTGACACTCCATCACTGAGCCACACCGGCCGAGTAATGCAGTTGATTTTTTAAAATATATTGTCATGTGTCTTGTCACCTTACTAAATTCATTTATTAAATTCTGGTAGCATTTTTGTTGTTAATCCTCACCTGAGGATATTTTTCCATTGATTTTAGATAGAGAGGAAGGGAGGGAGGGAGATAGACAGAGAGAGACAGAAACATCGATGTGAGAGAGATACATCAATTGGTTCCTTCCCACAAATGCCCCGACGAGGGCTAGGGATTGAACCTGCAACCCAGGTAAGTGCCCTTGACTGGGAATTGAACCCGTGACCCTTCAATTCAAGCACCAATGTTCTAACCAGTGAAAAACACCAGTCAGGGCTGGGAAAGACCTTTTAAGCATAATACCAAATAAAGAAACCACAGAAAGACTGGCTTAAAAATGAAAGCTAGTTGGACAACAAAATCAAATGCAAGCAGCAGATATTAAATGTTTATTTTGTGTAAACAGCTGAGGGAAGCGATAAGATGTAGTATTGCTGATTTGTTCCTGGTGAGAAATAGTTTGGGGGAAGTTGAACCTTTGTTTTAAAGATGGGTTAATTTTGTCAAATTGTAGAGTTTAATTACTGTGGGGGCATGTCCAGGCTGGTGCACATTCGTGCCCGGCGCCCTCTGCTGGCGGCAGCTTGCAGTGTTTACACCTGGGAACTCGGCTCACCTGCAGGTGGACTCTAGAAGAGGCAGAGTGGCTGGTGGCACAGTTAAAGGCATTGGCATAGTGCTGTGGGGTCTGCAGACCTGGGGAGAGGCATGGAGGTGCCACTGCAAACCTAGGCCTCCTGCATGCCCGCCCCCTAGCTGTTGACCAGGCACATTAGCGAGGCAGCAGTTCTGTCTGGTTCAAGGGTGTGTCCCCAGGGCTTGGAGCAGTGCTCTGCACAGGGTCTGTCCTAGTAAACCTTTGTTAAGCAGCCAGGAGCCATGTGCCAGGCACTGGGGGTTCAGCAGTCACCACTAGTCCCTTACTCCATGGAACTGATGTTCTCGTGGGGAGACCAGCAGCAAACAGGTGACCACACAGCTTAAATAAGGCGTTGCCTGTCATGAGATGTGTTGAGGGGACATGCTGGGTGCTGCAGTGCAGAATAGGTGGGCCCAGGTGAGAGCGGGCTGCCTAGGTCAGGGTTCTGGAGACTGAAGAAGAGGAGCCAGTCTTCAGAAGGAGGAGGGCGTCGGGCCAGGGAGGAGCCAACAGCAGGCAGGCATAGTGGAGCGGTGTCTGAGCCAGGTCGGGCAGGATCTGGTGGCCTGACGAAGGACCCTGAGTCCTCTTGTGAACTCTTACTCCTCTGTGTTTGCCATATCCTAACATGGTGTTTGCTTTTGTTTCCTTTTTCTTTTTTTTTAATTTAAAGAATTTTTTGTTTTGTTTTGTGTTTTTTTGATAGATGAGGGTTACTACCAGGGTGGAAAATTTCAGTTTGAAACAGAAGTTCCTGATGCATACAACATGGTGGTGAGTAGCCTGTGCCTGAGCCCCCGTTTCCCCTTCACGTGGCTGGGTGTCCGTCACAGGGGCCAGCACTCCCTAGACTGTGTCCCCTGTTACCCACCCAGTCCTGGGACTGAGCATGAAATCCCTGATGTTTTGTGGTTAGTGTCACTCAGCTGCAGTATCTGGAGTCCTAGTAGAGAGAGCCTTTTGTGAACAAGTGCTTGTGAGGACTGCTGGACAGTCTGCAATGGGAGCAGCCCCGCTCCTCCAGGGACCTTATGCCAATTGGCAGCTTCACCGTTAGTGCTTGGATATTCCCTTTTCCTAAACTCATCGAGATGGCATATTTTCATTATTTTTTTCCTTTTTGCCATTTTGGGAGGAAATAAATGTTTTTTAATTGTCATTTGAACTTTCATTTATTAAGTAGGATGTTAAATACTTTTTCTCCTTATTAGCTATTCATGTTTTTTATGAGCTGTTTTGTGCTTAGCCTTTGTTCTGTTGGAAAATAGTATGCGAAACTATTTTTAGTTTTCTTAGCTGTGCTGTAAATATTTTCCTTGTTTTTTCCTGTCTCCTGTTGTTGTTCTGTAAAAGTTTGTTTTTTGTCTCATCACTGCGGTCAAGTCTACTTTTCCTTCATGAGCTTTTCATGTTAGGAGATGCTTTAAAGAGGCCTACACCCCAATAGCTCATCTCCGCTTCCTCCAGTGCTCTGTGGCTCCACCTGTGTGTTTCCTGCATCGGGACGGAGCTCTGAGTGGGGCTCTCACTGTGTTCTAACGCTTAGCCGCTTGTCCACTGAAGAATCCCTCTCCCTGCACTGGCTGTCATTATTACACTCTTCGCCCTGCGATGAATGGATGCAGTGCGAGCCACTGGGGTGGGCGGTGGAACTAGCTATTTCCTGTTTATCTCATTTTGAGGGTGGCAGGGTCTACAAACACAGTTCTGTTTGGAAAGTGTGTCTGAATCTGGGTCCACGGTTCTCATGCAGAGGTTTCAGTTAAGAGGGCCATTGACAAGGGAGGTGTCTGTGGAAGGTGTGAAGGGACAAGGAGAAAAGGGTGCAGATGCAGACAGATATTTAAAGACATGAAGTTAACACTAGGTGGGGTGACCATGTGCAGGCCAGGACTCCATGAAAGGGAAGGGAGGGAGGGAGGGAGCGAGGGAGCGAGCTCGGTTCTTTCAGGTACCGCGCCGGCCAGTGATTGAGTCTGCTCACTGTGTTAACTATAGTCAGGTACCCACTAGTTAACTATATTGTTACTCAGTTGCCTGGCCTCCCTGCTTCAGCCTGCAGGCCTCGCTGGAGTGCAGGCTGTCCTAGCATCTCCCTGTCAAATGCACTCTCATTCATTTGCCGAAAAGCAGATGAGCATATTAAACTTACTCTGGACCTAAATCTGTAATCCTCAGACATCTATATTTGCATAGTTGGATGAATCATTTTTTAGAGTCCCGTGATGTCTTAGTTTTTTGAAATCAGGAAGAAAATTCATGATGGTGCTGAGAGAATATGTTTTTTAATATTTTTAAATTGATTTTTAGAGAGAGGAAGGGAAAGGGAGAGAGAAACATGCTGTGAGAGTGAAACATCAATCGGCTGCCTCCTGCACAGCCCCTATTGGGGATTGAACCCGCAACCTGGGCATGTGCCATGACCAGGAATCGAACTGTGACCTCCTGGTTCAACCCCTGAGCCACACTGGCCAGGCTGCTTTTATAGTTTTAAAAGAACAACTTTATTCAACACACCACATCATAAACAATGTTGGACGCCTTATTTCCCAGTACTCGTTTCATTCTTTCTGCTGTGAGTGTAAATGGACCAAACTTCCATCTAGGAAGACGGCAGTGGCATCTTCAGGAACACACACAGGGAATGGCACCACTTCAGGAGCAGTAACTTCCAGCCACAGCTCAGCAGCTCCTGAGGAATCTGTGGGGTCCTGTTGGCATTGGGCAGGAGCGTTGCAGACACCCCCTGGAGTGCACGTGGGCTCCTCCTCACAGCGGGACCAGTCACCATCAGGCCTCGGGGCTTGTACAGGGTTCTGTTGGGGGCACGTCAGGCTTTACCAGCAAGACCAGCACATGTGGGTGCAGGGTGACAACACAGTCCCGCATGGGTGATGTGAGCCAGTATCGAGGTTGAATGCCTAGTAAGGAGGAGAACGAGGGACTGGGTGGGCACGTGGTGAGGCTGTGGTCTGTGACGTGCTTGGAGGGCCTGTGACCTCTCTCTCTGCATTGCAGCCACCCAAAGTGAGATGCTTGACCAGGATCTGGCACCCCAACATCACAGAGACGGGCGAGATATGTCTGAGGTGAGCCCTCTTCTTCCTGTCTTCCACATTTCTGAGCACTGTGTGTGAGCCTTGGATTTCTAGAGGGAAGATTTTGAAGCTGGGCCAGATTGGGAGGGTTGGGAGACCTCCCTGGGGCTTTGGGCTGCACTCACACCTGGCTGCTGCCTCCAGACCTGAGGCCTCCTCTGCCCTTTGCTGGCCAAGGCTGTGCAGTGTCATGCAGCCGCCCTCCGGGAGCCTTGACCCTTTTCCTGTCCTGTTTTAATGAGGCCACATTCCCTCCACGTGGCTGATTTTAGCTAAGGGGAAAATGCCATTCATGAAATCCAGGAAGAAAATCTCCTTTCACTGCTGCTCTGGTAAACACTGGTCACCTTTGAAAGGCAGTGTGTGGCCTGTGACTGCTCCCAGCTGCTCAGACAGCGGATTCCTCTTCCTTTCTTACAGGTGCAGTTAGCACCCATTTCCCACTTTATATGTGGTGCCTCCTCTCCATGTCAGCCTTATTTTTTATAGTTAAGAGTACATTTTATAAGAGCGTACCTGTTTAGAAGGCATCTTCCCTCTGAAGTGTCTGCCCTGTAAGTATTGAAACTTTCAGTTTCAGGTGATAAGTGGCGTCTGGTCCAGCTTTCTCCCCAGGCTCTCACCTGTGCTCGCGTCCCCTTCCTTGCTCAGAACTAGATCTGAGGAATTCCTCTTGTCACTTTTGCTGTCTTCTGAGAAATCAAATTATTAGCAGAGTATGACAGGAATTTAGCAGATGCTAGCCTGCTACAAAAGCCAGAAACATTGATAAGATTAAAAATACAAAAACAAAATCCAAAGCGAAGAGCAGCTGATTACATTGTTTGTGAAAGTCCTTACCAGTCAGTATGAAAAAGGTGGACACCCCACTCTGGCCAGCTGTCCCAGTTGGTTGGAGCATCATTCCTGCACCAAAACGTTATGGGCCTGACTCCTGGTCAAGGCACATACGTAGGGCTGCGGGTTTGATCCCTGGTCGAGGTGTGTACAGGAGGCAGCCGATCGATAATTCTCTCTCACATTGATCTCTCTCTCTTCCTCTCTCTCTCAAATCAATAAGGTGAGGATTTAAATAAATGTTGAAAAGAAAAAGGTGGACATGCCCATGGGGACAGTAGGCATCAGCTGCAAACTAGTGGTGGCACAGGAGAGAAGCAGGGCAGGAAGCCCTGAGGGTGCTCCGTCTCCTTGGAGCTGTTAGGTTCTGGTCAAGCAGCAGTGTGATATAATTCAGCAATGCCAAGCTAATTTTCACCAAAAGGAACCTTGGTAATAAATTTTCAAAATATGGAAAGTTCATTTTTGTGAGGATGTGCTGACCATTCTGCTTTGTCTGTTCCAGTTTACTGAGGGAACATTCGATCGATGGCACTGGCTGGGCTCCCACGAGGACATTAAAGGTAGGTGCCTTTGACCACAGCCCTGCCCGGTGACCTCTCCCTCAGTAACCAGCCACCTGTAAGAACAGCCATGTCCTCTCTGTCCTGTGCACACAGGAGGCCAGGTGCACCCTGCCCCTCCTCTCCCCACCACCCACTACCGCCTGGGGCTGCTCAGGCAAGCACTCGCCCTTCAGTTCCTCTGTCCCCGTTCTCTGCGATGCAGGGGCATGTCAGGTCATCTGCTCTGCCTTTGCCCTTTACCATCTTCATATAATATATAATTGTTGTTTTTTCTTTCTATTTCTATCCCCTACCCTAGTCTTCTATAGTTGTCTCACCCTTAAAGGTGAAAGGTGAGGAGAGTTGCCAGGAGTTGGTAGAAGGGGAGGTGTGACTTCTGTGTGTCCCTTCTGAGCTACCTCGAGGTACACTGCACAGAGGAGGGGCGGCAGGACAGCGGCCGGGTCTGCTTTGGGGAGGGCTGTGGAGAGGGGAGCTACGGGGACTAAATAAATGGCCCACTTGCTTCTACACCATAGGCTTGAGTTGCTTTCAGGGCCGATGTCTCGGTGCCTACGTGAGCCACCAGCTGTAGCCTCCCCTCAAGGCGTTTCTGCAGTGGTGCCCATAGGACACCTAGGGCTTCTTCCTGTGGCCTGTTCACTCTGTCAGAAGTTGTCAGGCGTGGGCCAGTGTTCACTTGCTAGTGAACAGCTACCTGACTATCACCATCATTTTTGACTAATGAAACGGTTCCAAACCATTGTCACCTTTGCCCTGTCTGTGTTGGGTCGACACTGCCCAGGAGAGCACCTGCCCCATGCTGGTTCGGGCAGCTTGGCTCCCAGCTTCACTTTACCCCAGACTCAGCACAAAGCCATGGCCATGCCATCTTCCCCGGTGACTCCTCCTCTGAGGCCGACAGTCTTAGCCGGGCAACGTGAAAGGGCTGTGGGTGTCAAACCAGCCTGTTTGCGAGGCCCTGAGAGCTGGCTGTACACTGCACATGCTGCCCCCACTCAAAAGCAGTGTTTTCCCCACATGGCACCTTTGGCTTAGTCGTGCATGGGTGATAAAAGTTGCACCAACTAAAACTACTTCTAAGTTTGGGCCAGATGCACAGAGATGCTGCTGGGCGTGTCCCTCAGGTCAAAAGGGTGACGCTGAGCAGGATAGGACAGTCCTGGGCCCTGTCCTTTACAGGTTCCAGGCTTCTCTTTCCACAATGCTTCGCAGACTAACTTTTAGGCCCCACCTTCTAAAATAATGCGCAGAAACCTGACTGTATCCATCATATACTGACTGAGTGGTTGGTCTTTCAGAGCCTCTCATTCCTGTTCCTCGGCTCTCAGAAGAGGATAGTAGACACATTGCAGTGTCACCGCTCTCAGAGGACACAGAACCAGAGACACGTGTGGGTCAGAGTGGCCCGGCAGGCGACTGCACCTGACCACACCTCCTGGTAGACAGCTGCAGGCTGGTGTGCAGACCACTCTGTGGCCAGAAGGGACTAGCAGGTGGTGTGGATCACCAAGTAGGCACTTTGGGGGAAGGATACAGGGAAGGCATTTGGGGCCCTGTCCCAGAGTCAGGGGACAATGCAGACTTCCTGTGGTCATGACCGTGGCTCCTCATGAGGTGTGGTCTCTGCTGCCACGAGCAGCCTGGCCTGGCCTCTCACCACACCCTGGGCGTGCCTTGCCCTCTTGGGACTTAGCTTCTGTACAGGCAGTCCCTCAACTTGGCAGGTGCTCCCTCCTGCCATCCCTCTTCCTGGCAGTGCCCCACGCCCTCTCCGGGATGAGTTCGCTGTGGGAACACGCCTGTGGAAGCTCCGTCAACACACCGTCTGTCTGACCCCTCCACCAGCCTGAGAGCTGGTGTTCACCCCAGCTCTGGCCCCAGGCCTGGCTCACACCAGAAGGATGGATGGACAGATGGAGGAGTGGGTGTGGATAGACGAGAGACAGCAGAGAGGGCAATTAAAATACTAGCAGAGTATCAGATGAGAATGAGAGTAGGCCTGAAACAGACAAGCCCCTTGAGCTGGTGAAAGGAAGTCCAGGAAAGAGTCTGATTGAGTCGCCCATCACAAGTCAGTCTAGAGAGAAAGTGGGTTTCTGTCATTTTAATTAACATCTCTTTGAATTAAAAAAAAAAAAATGTCTCCCTTGATTTTTGAAGTAACTAGAGCAAAATTATTAAGACTCAGTGGGATGGTGGGTGATCTGGTCCCCAAGAGGCAACAGATACCAAAACAGCAGAATTTATCTTAAAGGTGGCTGGACTCTGCCGGGGAGTGACAGGTAAGCATACTGTGAGGTCAGGGTGTCCTGGGCAGAAGCTGCCTAAGGGCTGTTACCACCCAGGATTGGACTCGTCGCGGGAGGGCAGTTTCTGTTCTCTGAGTTTTCACTCACTGCCTGTAGCTGCTCACCTCTGGATTTCCCAGAGTCTGTGGTTATAATGAGAAAAGTTGTTTTAATCTTCTGGCTTGGGAAAAACAAAGCCTGCAAAGATGAATTTTGATATGGTCCCGTACATATTTCTTACGGGTTTGAAAGACTGCACAGGAGCCTGAAACTTGTTTTCTTTTTTCCTCATTCCAGGATGTTGTGTGGGGATTAAACTCTTTGTTTACTGTAAGTATATTGACCAAAATCCCAAGCTTCTCTGGTTCCCCTGACTGCTGTTGTGAGCCCATAAGAATAACACTGGGATTAAAGACAGCACCATGTCCATACTGTCTCACTTTTGTGAGACTGGCCCTGAGGGGGTTTGCAGTGACATGTGGGAGGTGACTGGGGGCAGAGCGCCCCCACTCCCCAGGCCAGGTCGGTGGCTTCAGTCTCCTCACGTGGGGGTGGGTCCTCTGGCAGCACCTGGCAGCCCCGCTCCGTCTGCTCTCACAGCAGCCCAGCCCGTAGCCCTGTTCACTCCCACGTGTCCTGGTTTGAGTGAAGGATGATGTGCTCACCCATCTTGAGGCTTTTCACAAACCCAGAAACTTTGAGTCATTCTCGTATTAGTGACGAGCTGCCAACAGGGTTCACTGTCTTTAGAAAACAGCTCATCATGGCAGGGCTGTAGGGCAGGAAGGGGCATGGGAAAAAGCTAATACGGGCACAGCTGAAAGCTGGAGTTTGGATTTTTATATATTGTTATGTTTTCCTTGGGGTTTTGATCGAAAAAGAGCTTTGGAAGAAAGAAAAAAGCTCTGCTACTGTTGGTAAAACCTAAGGTCCCTGCATGAAAATGAGGCTGTCCAGGACAGCCCACGGGACTGTGGCTGTTGGAGGGACAGCTTCCTGGCTCATAGTGGATGTGCCTACAGAGTCACCCTGGGGTGGGGCTGCTGTCCTCAACCTGTCATCAGAGGCCACAGGCTTCTTGTTCTTGATTCTTGATTCAGCAAAATAAAAAACAAACAAAGCCTCAAAATTAGACTCCAAGTCCCCATCTTCCTTGCCTTCTGATCTGATGTCACTTGGCAACACCTGGAACACAAGCAACCAGTGCTTGCTGATTTCAGGACCTCGCTTAGTCTCCATGGGAAGGTGATACCAAGGGGAACGAGCATCTGGACGATTTTCTGCTGGGCCCAGTTGTTTTGCTGTGATTCTGTTTTTGACTTTCATGTAAGTGAATGAAGTGTTACTTCTGGAGCAGCATGGCCTGAGCATGGTTGAAACTCTGCCTGGCGGCCAGGCCTCTTTGTCACAGCCAGAGAGCACACGGGCCCACGCTCATTGTATCCTCCACAAAACCCATCCTGCTTCGTACAGGTGCCTTGGCCCTGAATCGGAAATGATTGTGACCAGCAACTCGCTGCAAGGGAATTAAGGGGAGGAAATAGTGATGGCTCTTTGGAGTTTTCTTTTTTTCTCTTAAAGAAGTCTGGTGTAATCTTCATCCCTCCAAGTGCTCCAAACCTCCCAAATTCTAAAGAGCCAATCCAGATTGCTAATTAAATCAGTAATGGTTATTCCAACCAGTATAGTCATTTTAGGTCAAAGGTGAGGTAAAGAAGATAAGGAATTCTGTGTGTTTGGTGTGGTCTTTGTACACACTGGGTGGGTGTCTTATCTGATATGTACTTTATGTTTTTACCTGTTTCCAGGACTTGGAGTTTAATTTCCCAACTGTAAATGACCATAGAGACTTACAGTTTTTCTTTGTTATATTTTCTTTGTCATACCCATATTTATTTTCAAATCAGGGATACAATCCACAAATTTAGCACTTGCCCTAGGAGGAATATGGTTGTCTACGATGGTCCTTCTGTGGCTTTGGAAAGTGGGGACTCATTATAAAACAAACCTTACTGTCCGGGTAGAGGCGGAACACTCAGTATAAAGCTCAGACGTGGCCCATCTGAAATCCCTGGTGTTGCTTGAGGGTGGGGGAGTAGCCCTCCCAGGGCTTTCCTAAGGTAGAAGGGGGCTGGTGCCCCCACACCCTCGGAGGCCTAAGGCACTGTCCTGCACTCAACTGGGTTCCAGGCTGGGAGTGATGCTTGTGAAGGTGAGTTAGGAGATGAAAGGAAACTACAGTTAAGGCCAAGTAGAAACCACAGACTTACAAAGGCAAAGTTGTTAATCACAAAATGAAGGGGGGATTCATTTTGAAAGAAAAAAGAGAATAATGGGACTTTAATTTGGAAAGCTCATAATGACTGGTTTTTCATTCTCCAGTTACCAATAGCATTAGAAATTAATGTGATGGCTGTTGCCCCCATTTCCACCACATTTTGGACAGTTACATATAAACATGATCCCCCCTTCAGCTATTCATCACCATGTTGAACAAAGTACAAGGTGAGTGCTCCATTTGAGAGGAGCTTCATGGTGGACTCCTCAGCTCCCTGGGGCTTCATTCTCCAGTTTGCTGGTCGGTTTCAGTTGCCTAGTTCTTAACATGAAGACGTGTCACAGTGGAGTAACAGAATCTATCTTTACTTGTGTTTCTGTCTTTAAGGATCTTCTGAACTTCGATGACCCACTGAATATCGAGGCTGCAGAGCATCACCTGAGGGACAAGGTAGGCTGGGGACAGGAGGTCCTGGCTGGTGTGTTTGGCAAAGAGATAACTATGTCTCTGGACTAGATAGGCGCAAAGTTGAGAATGGTGGGATTCAGGACTGGAATTTAGAGTAATTTATAATGACGTATCACAGTGCATGTGAGTGGTTTCAGTAAAGTGTTTGACCCAAGGTCAGACGTGTTTTATTGGGAGAGAATTCGTAGTAGAATCTGGTATACTGTTCCTTTACCTTTAGCAACATCGGAATATAGAAGGGACCGTGGGTGGCGTGATGCCCTCAGTGCCCTCTGGGCCCCCAGCAGCCTCCTCACCTTCCACACCTTTCCCAGAGCTCTGTGACTGTGTAATGAATGGGGTCACATTCATTACTCCAGTCTCAGTCCCTTTTCTTTAACTTTTTCCCTCCAAGTCAATGCATGAAGTGTCACTCATCTACTTTCAGAACCGTTCAATGTCTCATAAGCAGCTCTACATACTTATTCAGCCGTTCTCTTACTGGTGGGACTTGGTTTTTCCCACTGTTTTTTCCCCCAACTACAGCAATAATGTAGTAAATACCCTTGTACACACATCCTTACAAAGCATGTGGACGGGGTCTGGGAGCCGGCCTGTGTGACTGGGAGGAGGCTGGCAGCTTGTTCAGCCTCGCAGGGGCCACGCCGATTCCTTGGCGTGCCCAGCATGTGTTCCATGCAGACTCGGGAAACTAGCGATAGGCACTTCAGGGAGCAGTGGGTTCTACAGTGGAACTGAAGGGTCAGGCAGAGGATGGTGGTTTGGCAGGCGACCTGAGGAGGAGGCTGGGGCAGCACGGGTCTTCAGGACAGGTGCAGGGTGGGAGATGGCTCTGCCCCTGCCCACCTCTGGGTCACCCTGGCTGGGGGTTGCCTGGCAACGCCTCAGTCCACTGCTGACTAGCCTAGCAGGCTGCTCCTGGGCCCAGAGCCTTTCAGGAGGCTTCGTTTATGTTGTACTCCCTCCGCTTGTCACTGCTGCTGACAGGGACCCATCAGCATGTGATTATTCCAGCCCCTGTGGACTCAACCTTGTCAAGGGAAGACAGTGGTAATAGCAGGGCGCACTCTTGTGGAGCTGTGATAAGCTCATACAGATGGCTCTCGTTCTGTCTTTCTTGGAAGGCTGCTTCCTATTCTTTGTATGATATAAGGTCAGGTTTGCAATTAATAAACTTCTCCCCAGTCAGATGGTCCTAAAATCGGCCAAACAGTGATGCCTCCACTTGAACTTTTTTTTTTTTTTAAATATATTTCATCCTGATGTCGAGTCACGATCATCGTGTCTCTGCTCACTTTCTCTTGTAGTCATTGTTCATCCCAAGATTGACCGCTTGAGTACCAAATGAGGTGCTCGATGCTCAGGGGGATCAGTGGACAGACAGTCTCTGTCCCCGTGCAGCGTGCATTCTAGTGGGAGGAGGCAGAGCAGAGATAAGCCATCAACATGGAAGGTGGGGCTGGGGGCCAGGAGTGTTGGGGTGGGGGATGATGGGTGTTGCACTTTATGGAGGATGTTCAGGGAAGACCTTTCTGATAAGATGTGACTATAGATGTGATGTGAGCCAGGTGGATCTCAGGGAAAGTTTTCCAGAGACTGACAGCCAGTGCAAAGGCCTCAAGGTGGGAATGTGCTCCAGGTGTTCAGGGCAGAGCACAGGGGCCACATTACTTGAGTAGGAGGGCAGTGGTGAATCAACAGTATCAGCAACCCTGAGTGGCCCTCCCAGGTGTCAGGCATTGTCCCACACTCTTCCCAGAGTACATTTGTTCTCCTGACAACTACAGGAGGGAGGGCCTCTTGTTAGCCCTTATTCCCTAAGAGACTCACCAGGAAGGGGCAGAGCCCCAGATTTGAACACAGGGGGTCTGGTTGCAGGGCCCACAGAGGGACACGAGATGTGGGAGTTACAGAGGCCTGAGCACACAGGGTCTTCTGAAGGTGTGGACTTTGTCCTGGGTGAGATGATGAGAGCAAAGGGGATTAGGATTAAGCAGAGGCACCTTTGAATGGAGGGTGCCTTGGGGCCTTCACTTCACATCCAGTGAGCTTGGGTTGTGGTTCCTTAGGAGCTGGGAGTATTGTTGGCTTCTGGGCACTGTGGTAGTGACCTGGTGAGAGTTTGCTAGGGGCTGTGGAGCCTCTGAGTGCAGCGCCATCCGTGGACAAGTGCGGGTGTCCTGACTTTGACCATATGGGCCTCACTCTCCCCATCTGCAAAATGAAAGGTCTTGGGACCCCTTCTGCTCCAGCTGCTGTTTGTACTCTCTGCCCCCGGTGCCCCTGGCACAGTGTCTTGCCCATAGTGGGCACCCACAGGGGAACCAGCTCCACAGGTCTCTGGTGGCCCTGCCACCTTGGCTGCGGAAGGCTGAACTCTCAGTGGGCCCTTGGCTCGGTGGCTCCGACTTGTCCCTGGGTTGTCACTCCCCCTCACTAACTTGCTCTTCTCGAATTCCACAGGAGGACTTCCGGAACAAAGTGGAAGACTACATTAAGCGGTACGCCAGATGATAGGAGGGGCGCCTGCAGCGCGGACTGTGCTAGAGGGTCGTCTTCAGCTCTCGAGGGGGCCTCCATCCCAGTCCTCGCGCTCCCGCAGACCCACTGGCTCTGCTGGGTCCTGTGACGTGTCCTGCGGAGGAACCTCTTCATGACTGCCCATTGTAGACAGAGAGTTCCGCATAAATACAGCAAGAAAATGAGTTTGGGCTCTAAAGAGTTGTCTGCTTACCTTAACATGTTTACTTTGTGAACCTGTACTGTATAGGCTGAGGAAATGCTTGAGAAGTTGTAATGAACTCAGAATTGGAGCTTGCTTCTTACCTTCCCCCAAATCACTTCCCTGCACAGCAATGCCAATGACCTGCCAAGAACTGGCAGGTGGGCGGTCCCAAGCCCGCTGCAAACTGTGATTGGATGCGCAGTCTCTTATCTCCTCCCACGAATGTCAGCCCTGCCTCAGTGTCTGAGGCTTCCCAGAATGCAGTCATTCACTGTAGATCTCTTACTGAAATGCGTATTTTATTTAATGTAAGTATATTTTGGAACAGATTTGTAATTTGTACAATTTAATGCTTTAATTATTTTTTTCTATTCTCCTTTAGTTTGTATTTTCATTGTATAGAGCAGACAGAAAGATGTTGGGTCAAGCAATTATTGAAGAGAAATACAAAGAAAATATGAAAGACATCATTCATTCTGTCCAAATGCAATGAGAATTTGGGTCTTAAAAACCAGCTCTTGCTTTCAGGTCTGGGTGGGGCAAAGAAGTTTAGAACCCTGTGAGGCTGGAGCTCAATGATTTGGAAAAAAAAAAGGAGGGGAGCCCTTTGTCACATTTGGCCTAGAGGAACTGGCTGGAGTGGGGCTGGGTGTTTCTGAGGGTCATGTGCTTAGGAACTAGTGTGCAAGGACTATAGCTGCTTATCAGAGACCCAGACCCTTGCTCCTGAGGGACAGGAGAAACCTTGGGAAGCAGCCAAACAATGTCTGATGCCCCTGAGACTACACCTGTGGCCTCTGAGTCTGCTGTGGTTCCAGGCCCGAGTGGAGGTGGTCTCCTGGGCAGTGGAGAGCAGGAATCGGAACAGCATACAGCCATGCTCGGTCAGGTCTGCACACTTCAGAGGCAGCACACCCAGGAGACCCCAGGACCCGTGATGTCATATGCAAATAAATATCTGTATGGTTTTGTCCACTGCCTGCCTGCCTGCCACTCTCCAGTTTGACTGACAGCCTCCTTGCCTCTGGGTTTCCCATCTACCTAGGCTGATGTGTGCTTTTCTTGATTCACAGTATCATCTGATCTGGAGGTCAGCAGGGGGGAATGTAGGCCATACTTCCTGTTTGTGACCAGGAATTGTGCCCATTAGATGGGGTTCCAGGACCACGTCTCGTACACAGAGGGGGAAGGGTCGGGCTGGATAAAGGGCAGGGTGGCATCTGAGTGGTGCAGGCCTATCAGGAAGGCACAGTAGTCCTCATCCCCAGGCCAGGCAGAGGCACCACAGCTCCTGCAGTTGTCATTGGAGCTTGTCAGTGTCCCTGGAACTCACTGGCCGGGCACTAGGCCATCCTCTGCCAGGTGGGTCAGGAGGTCAGCAGCAGGCCCGCCCACACACCTGATTTCTGCCCTGTGACCCAGGGCATGAGTTCCCTGCAGGAGTCCTTGGACGGGTTGTCAGGGCGGCCACAGGTGCCAATGCAGGTGGAAGAAAGGGTGCCAGCGTCTGTGGTTAAGTGGACCAGATTGAAAGGGGTTCCTGTTGATTCCCATTTCAAAATATTTGACATAGAAAAATGCTTTATCGGGGGTCAAGTTTTTTTAAAAATGACATTTCCACAGTACTGGACCATCCCTTTCTGTCCAGGGAAACCCCATCTTGTTAAGCAGCACACCCAGCTCATCCCACTGCACCTAGTCTTTGTCCTCCAATTCAGTGGCTTGGGACCCTGACTTCCAGGCCTTGTGGCTTCTTGGGGTCTCCCCACTCAGGGCAAAGTAACAGTTCTGGTTCCTGTCTATGTGCCCCATCAACCTGGGGATCGTTGATTTCTGATGTCCCAGGGTTGGGATACCGAGCTTCCAGCCAAAAAGGCCAGCCCTTGGCCAAGTCCTTGAAAAGCCCAATTAAAATTCAACTTCTTGACAAAACATTCCCGAATTCAAATTCTGGCTCTATCACTACCCATGAGAACGTGGGCAAGATGCTTTTCTGTACCTTAATTTCCTGTATATAAAATGGGGATAACTACCTCCCAATAAGGGTGTCATCGAAATCAGTTTGAATACATGGGGAGTGCTTAGGGCGGTGCCTACCACGTGTGGGGTCCGCAAATAAACTTTGAGACAGTTATGCAAGGGGTGGCCAGTCCATGGCTCCATTCGAGTTCAAGAATCTGGACCTTTGCCCTTAACACTTTCACAACTGACTTAGGTTTACTGGGTCCACGAATGTTGGCATTTCCACTTGACTGTCTCACCAACAACACATCCAGAACAGGTTTCGTTCCTGTCCAGATGAAGGCGCTATCTTCTGAGTCACTCCGTTACCCCTGGCCTCCGCACTCCCTGCCCCACACCCAGCTCTCCCGCATTCCTGTAGGTCCTGAACCCACCTTCCCTGCGTCCCACGCCTCTACTCCGGACCCCTCGAATCCATGCGCAGTGAAGGAGCCCTAATTCCACGCAAAGCCACCTGTGCAGAGGCCCCTCCAGCTGGGGCCGTGGAAGCACGTTTTAGGAGACCCCGGGCACGAGGACGCAGAAGCGTGGCCCGCCGGCCTCCGTACCCGGCCCTGCTCCGGGCGCCCGGTCCAGCGGGGCGGTCGCAGGCGAACCCCGCGTGCCGCGTCTGCCGGCTTCTCCCCGGTCCACGCCGCCCTGGTGTCGGGCGCCGCCTCCTTGCTGGCGCCGGCGGACTCGCGCAGGGCCCTGGAGGGTGAGAAGCCGGGGAGACGCCCCCAACCCGCGACGGCTGAGACGGCCTCGCTGGGGTTCCCGCCAGGATTTCGCGGTCGGGACCACGCCCCCTGTGACGGGCTCGGAGCCCCGCCCCAGGACCGTCACCTGACCGCGCGCGGCCAATCAGTATTTCATCCTCTCCCAGCCGCTGAAGTGGGGATTGGCCCCAAGCGCGCAACTCAGCCAATCCGGACGCGCCCCGGCCTCGCGACCCCGCTGCCCCTCGCGAAGCCCAGAGCTGACAGTTCGGGCTTCAGGGGCTGGCTGGGTGTGGACTGCGCCTGGCCCCGGTGAACGGGAGCGGGGTCGCTGTGGGACCGGCATGGAGGCGACCGCGGCACCGAGCAGGCATGCGCGGGGGCGTGTGGCGAGTCGGCCCGGCGGCGGCGAAGAGAAGAGCCCGCCAGAGAGGTGCGCGCTGAGAGGGAAAGGCGAGGGAAACCGCCGGCCGCCTCCTCCGGGAAGCTCTCCAGGCGCCGCGGTGCGAGGGGTTGGCGTGTCCCACCCAGGGAGGTTATAAGGGGTGGGGGGGCGCTGGTCACTCGCGGGGAGAAGCCCCACGCGGCGCTGCAGCGCTGGCCGGCTGGCCACGGGGAGGCCTAGATTAGGGATGAGAGCTGGAGGACGAGCTGATGAGAGGCGTGGTCCGGAGAGGGCCCCGGGAGGAAACTGCGCTGAAACCTGAGTGACGTCCTGGAGTCGGCCGCACCGGCCTGGGCACGCTCTGCACGCGGGGAGAGGGAACGGCGGTTTCTAAGGCCCCGAGCGCGCGCATACACAAGCCTGTTGGATCCGGGCCGGCGGGAGCGCGGGTCGCGTGCGCCTGGGGTGCAGGGCTTGTGGGAGCAGCGGCGGCGCGTGGCCCCGCAGCGCCTCGGAGCCCAGGAAGCACTTGGGGGTGTATTTATTCTAAAGGTGTGGCGGATCTTGGAGGTTTGAGCAGGGGAGTGATGCAATGTAATTATATTGTATCGGGGCTGCTTTGTGGAGAGTAGGAATGGGGTGGGGCAGGGGAGGAGGCAAGGAAAGCGATTGGGTCTCTATGATCATCTAGGAGGGAGGAAGTGGTGGCACAAGTGAGTGGACTGAGGCTGGACCCGCTGGACCCGCTGGTGCGCTGGTGTTGGGAAAGGAGGGAAGAAGGATGCCTCCCAGGCCCCTGGCCTGAGCACCTGGGAACGTCGGGATGAACTCAGGGAGAGGAGGGCGTCCTCCACAGGTGTCTTCCGCCTGCTGGAACTACTGGGGGGAGGGGGGGTGTGTGAACGTGGCATTTTCTTGTTTGTGAATCTTTGCGCTCCAATTCAGGAATGTGTTAAATACTGTTTGTTTGGGTAATCCTCTTTACCCGAATATAAGGAATAAATCAGACCAGCTCTTTCATTAGTCATTCTACTCTGGTTGGGACAGAACAAATGGGAGCTGGGAAGATGTCCCCTAGGGAGACGGAGTGGAGAGGAGATTCAGGGTGCCTTTTTACCTTTTGGTTATGAAACGAATGGAGTTTAGCTTGTCCGTAATATTGATAGCACTTTAAGGAAGTAGCAGGTAATGGAGCAGAGTAATCTACAAAGTGTTCCTCGGAAATTCAAGCCATAAATGAGCCAGGCAGCAGGTTGAAAAGCCGCAGTCACTCAGCTGACTCTAGTAGCTTGAGGAACTCGGGGACACTTACTTACAGGAAGTGAGAGTCAAGTGGGGCGCCTGCAGCTTCACATCACAGCAGGATTGGGAGTGTCCTGATACTGGAACATCCTAGGATGGCTGGTCAAACTGCCCAAAGCCCCAAAGCCCTGTACCTATCAGGTGACTTTGAACAATTTATAGACAAGATGCTGCATTAAAACATTCATGGTTCAAAAAACAAAACAAAAACCAGGCTGTCAGACCAGTGGTTACTAGGGGGAGTTGTAAACGCACCGTCTTGCCGTCTCTGGGTTTGGGCCTGACTTGTGTTGGTGGGAAAAGAAACAGCCTGGTTGTGCTACAGCCAGGGCTGCGATGTCAAGACCACTTCTGACCCTGCTCCCACATACCATCCAGGTCAGCGGTTCTCAACCTGTGGGTTGTGACCCCTTTGGGGGTCGAACGACCCTTTCACAGGGGTCGCCTAAGACCATCGGAAAACACATATATAATTACATATTGTTTTTGTGATTAATCACTGTGCTTTAATTATGTTCAATTTGTAACAATTGGGGGTCACCACAACATGAGGAACTGTATTAAAGGAAGGTTGAGAACCACGGATCCAGGTGTTCCCGTCTCTAATGATGCATTAAAGACTTGATCTTGCTGTAAGAGAAGAACAACTGATTTTTTTTTTTTAAGCATTGTAGGCTTTACAAAAAGTAGACATAATGATGAAAAGCCACCTGAGCCAGTCAAACCTTAAATCAAGACTACTGAGAAGAAAGAACTGTCTGAGTTGATACTCAAATTTCAGGAGCACATCATTCAAGCCCCTAAACCAGCAGAATCAATAAAGAGTCCAGCCCCTGACAAACCAATGACAAATTTGGAATTAAAAGTATCTGCCTCCTGCCCAGCCAAGGTGGCTCAGTGATTGTCGAACAATGAACCAGGAGGTTGTTTTTCGATTCCTGTCAGGGCGCATGCCCAAGTTGTGGGTTTGATCCCCAGTGGGCGGCATGCAGGAGGCAGGTGATCAGTGATTCTCTCTCATCATTGATGTTTCTCTCTCTCCCTCTCCCTCTCCCTTCCTCTCTGAAATCAATATATATATATATATATATATATATATATATATATATATATATATATATATATATATAAAAACCCAAAGTCAGTTTATCTTTTTGTGCCACCCATTTTGCTTTTGAGTTACCTAAGATTGATTATTCGTTTCTCCTCACTAATAAACTGTCGTGTGTCCCATACTTGAAGAAGCTGGAAAATAGCTCCTACATAGTTACAGTAGTTCTTAGTATAATATGATAAGCAGAGAAATATAAAGTAACATGTGTTCACGTCTCTTTCTATTGTTTCACAGTTAGTAAGGCAAGATGGAATGTCAAATTTTTAATTAGTTTTTTCATGAGTCTGTGTTCCTATAGATTTTCCTTGAAAATCTTTAAGGAAAAAATGCTTTGCAATGTTTTTGCACTCGGGGCAGTTACTTTCTGTAGGACGATTAATTCTGAGGTGTAGTAAGTAGTTAAAAAGGAATATATGCATTGATTAACAAATTAGAATTCGTTTGCAACCAATTGAAATA